TCCTTTTGTTGACTTTGGAGTAGCCCAATCCTTGATAGCTTAGATTTTCGAGAGCGCGATGCGAACACCATGTCTTTCGACAATATGTCCACACCATTCAAGTTCTTCTTTAGCCCATACGCACTTTGAAGGCTTGATGAAAAGGGCGTGTTCTTCAAGTTTCTTCAGGATACGATCGACGTGCTCCGGATGTTCGGCTAAGGTCTTCGAGAAAATGAAAATGTTGTCCAGGTAGGTAGCAAGGAATTCGTCGTGATCTTTATGGAAGATCTTATTATAAGACGTTGAAATGCAGCAGGTGCGTTGGTAAGCCCGAACGGCATGACCAAATACTCGAACTGTCCGAAGCGAGTTCGTATTGCCGTTTTTTCCCGATCTTGTTTTTGTATAAGAAGACGATGGTATGCTTCTCGAATATCAATAAGCGTAAACCATTTACAACCTTGAATCCGATCCCTCATCTCACGAATATTGGGTAAAGGTGTGCGATCTTTTTTGGTGACGGCGTTGAGACCTCAGTAGTCCCACCAGATGCGTAACCCGCCATCTTTCTTTTTCGCAAACACGAAACTAGCTCCCCAGGGACTTGAAGAGTGTTGTATCCATCCCTTTTCGAGCATCGAGGTGATTTGTTTCTTGAGTTCAGCGAGTTCTTCTTTGTTCATGTGCCGAAGAGGTTGCCAAACGGGTTCAGCACCTTCAGTGAGTTCGATCTTGAAATTATCTTCTCCGTGATCGGGAGGTAGACCTTCCGGTTCCTTGAAGAGCGTATTGACGTATTTATTTGGGATATCCTTGAGATGTCCTGGATTTCCTTTAAGCTCTTGAGGAGCGTCTGGTATTTCGTTAAGAGCGAGGCGACAGACCGTGTCTTTTTCAAACTTGTTCCGTCGCCAAGCCTTATTGAATCGCTTGGAGGTCATTTCTATGGCTTGAGGATTGCGAAGGGCATTGGCTTGAGCGAATCGAGATACGTAACGAGGTGCAGCTTGTAGAGGACCAGTATCCACAGGTTTGATGATCCGAACAGGTCAAACGGGTCTTTTGTCATAGACCGGATCTCGTTGAACATCGAAGTACGGGTTGTTGTGTTTTGGGATGTATTCGACGTCTTCCCAATTTCTTGAAGCTCTTTCGCATTTGATGGTGACAGAATGCGGTGCGTTTGGTATAGGACCGTAATTGGTCCAGCGAAGGGTAGGTAAGGTATTCATCGAGAATTGTTCTGCGTAATTAAAGAAGTGCCAGAAAGGCATTCCAATAATAGCGTTGTAAGCCAGATTACTGACTAGCCAGGGAAGTTGTCCAACTAAGAAAAGCGACTGAGATTCGAGATCCCATAGATTTAACTTTTCCAAAACGACCGTGTCAAGAATCATGTATGATTCCTTGTGGGCCAGCCATATCTGCTTTGGTTCGATACGTGTCTTGGGAAATTTGTGCTTTTCGACGAATGTCTTGTCAAGGGATAACCCAGTTGCGCCGCTATCAAAGAGAACACGAACGATCTTGTTTCCAATGCAACAATGAGAGACCCAGAGTCCAGCGACAGTGGTTGGAAGGCAGGTTTATCGGTAGGATCATATGTTGTAGGCCGAGCAGAGCCACCGAGGGGCTCTATCGACCTTGGAAGAAACTCGAAGATTGATTTGTAGTAGTATTCGTAGTATTCGCAGAATTGACGGCATCATCAAGAATTTCCGTAATACGTGACCCAGCATCAACCTGATTGGCTGAACCTTGTTGTTGATTAGGTTGGCGACTGCGCTGCGGAGTTTGAGCCCCACGACTGCGCTGTGGAAAACCACCGCGTCAGTTCTGGGTTTGCGAGCCTTGCTGTCGATTTGCGGGATTTGACCAGCATTAACTCTCCAATGCCCCATTTTGTTACAAAGGAAACAATGAGTCGTTGGACGTTGACGAGGAACGTGAGTAGTTTGCCATTGTCCACGTCCACAAAAGGGCTGTTGACGTTGGTAGGGAACTTGACCTGTAGTGAGACGACTCACTCCAGGGGAATAGTATGACGTACCGAGGGCATTGTGCCCAAAGGGCATATCATCTAAGTCTTGCTCAAATTCCGTAATTTGAGGATTGGTGTAAGGGACAAATTGTCCACCACGACCACCGCCACGACGACCTCAACCGCGACTGGCTCCACGGCCGCCATGAGCACTTGTTGCCAAGGCAATCGGACGAGGTGTATTGGCTTGATTGCCGTCAGTGAACCCGTGAGCCACATGAGCACGACGAGCTGCAGTGATAGCTTGATCGAGAGTGATAGGATTGTTATTGGCAACGTTGATACCGTTTTCAACTTCAAAGTTCGTAACAGTTTCAACAAAGTAATGGCCGATCATTGTACTCTTGAGAAGACCAGCCTTGAAGTAGCAAATTTGGTCAGCAAGAGGGACAACGCTGTGGTAGGCAGGGAACAGATGTTATATATTGGGTTGTTGGTCAACTGGCGCAAGCGCAGCGAGCCAGCGTTGAAAGGACAAGAAGAAAAACTACAATGCAGTCACATGACCTAGGAAATAAACTAGCTATCAGTTAGGGTTACCATTGGGGATAGGATTGGGAATTAGGGTTGCGGCATTGACTCCACACCATACCACAACACCTTGAGTATGATCAAGATGATGAGCGGCTTCGAGTTAGTTTTTGGTGTCTTGAAACTCCTTGATGTATTTTTTGAGAGAATCTCCAAGCTTCAGGCCAGACAACTTGAGCTTGATGGTGTTGCGCAAGGTTGCGAGGATAAAAGTGAGCGACAAGAGCAGTTTGAAAAGCTGCCCAAGTTGTCAAGGAAATTGTCCCGATCGCTCGGAACACCCCGGAGAGGTGGTACAGTCACAGAAAGAAGAGAAAAATGTTTGGGGAGGGTAGGAATCGAACCCACACCACCTGGGTGAGAGCCAGGTGTCTTAACCACTAAGCCAAAATGTGTGTGTTCCCGTTACACCTCCCCTTGACTGTACCAGCCTCTCGGATATATGTCCCAGTGTATCGGTATCATGGACCAGTGGATTGGTCTTATTTTAGTTGGAGTACCTGCCCAGGTCTCTGGTCCGCTGTGGGGTACCTAGGACCGGGTCATTGGTATTGCAGTATATATATGGTCCCGAGAAGGACTTGTGGTGCTACCTTGTCAAGGAAATCGTCCCGATCGCTTGGAACGCCCCGGAAAGGTGGTACAGTCACAGCAAGAAGAGAAAAATGTTTGGGGAAGGTAGGAATTGAATCCACGACACCTGGGTGAGAGCCAGGTGTCTTAACTACTAAGCCAAAATGTGTGTGTTCCCGTTACACAAGTTGCAGGAGAAGCGGCACCATAAGTTGTATTGTACCATTTGAGAGCAGTACCCTTGAGACAGGCAGTAAGCATAGTAGCGTAGTCAGCCATAGGGAAGGCAATAGCATCAGCGCCTCCAGTACCATCCGGTGCAGCTTGTACAGCAGGATTTGTTAGAGCGTCAAGAAAATCGTGGTGTGACGCGAGGAACTCTTCGATCTTTTGGGCAACTTTAGCGCCATCGTATTTGACGAGCTTGCTCCTGGGGTCGTCGAGGAGGAGTCTTGTACGATCACCTTGTTGGGTGTTTTGCACACGAGTACGCTGATCAGCAAGGATAGCAGCGGTTACAGCTGCAACGATAGCTTGAGAGTTTGCATCCATTCTTGCTTGCAAACGAGTATAAGGGCAATGTCCTGTAGAGCGTCTGCGTCGGCGAGGAATGTCTTGGTAGTGCTAGTTGGTAGGTGGTGCTACCATGTAACGTCAGAGGAAACTTGGATGATAATGGGCCCTTCCGAGAGGGCTGGAAACAGTGTACTGAAGTGAAGAAGAAGGTAGGAAGTCTTTAGCTGCGGCTGCTCGACTGACAGCCTTATTTATGGGCTGCCAGTGGGGCTTGCGTGGCTTCGAGGAGGCTTGGAGCCTTATGTAATGTATCACGAAGAGCTCGGGTGGCCAGCCCGAGTCTCGGATCATGTAGAAAGTAAAGAAGTATAATACAAAATACAAGGGAATATGAGATATCCCCGACACTGCCAGCCACATCACACTCGTGATAACTTGCTTGTAGCTGTTTGTTCAGCTATATAGCACTGTAGTCATATTATCTTCATCAGGTACCAGTGCGTCGATGGCCTCCAGCTGTTGTGCTAGCTGTCTAACCTCGTTGATGTGGTTTAGCATCGAGTCCAATGTGTTCATGCCAATGGTGAGGAATTTTTGACGTAGGAAGAGCTTGCTAGTGAACCCCTTCCGTTCGTGCACCATAGCCAGCTTAGACCAGGCTTCCCAAGCCGTCTTAGCTGAATGCACATGCCTAAGCTGAGTTTCGTTCAGACTAAGGCATATGTACGCCAAAGCCCGTTCATCGTTTCTCTCCAAGATGTAAGTCAATAGCACATTGCAGAATTCCAAATCACAAAGAACTTGTATTCTATGTACAATGTGACGTACTGGATAACCGTGTCCATCCTCCCTGTGAGTATGATCCAACATAACGCATATAGTGGTCAATCATCTCTCTTGTACTTCACGTTCTCCATTTGCACATCTATTGTATCCTGCTGGGGAGGAAGGTCCTAAATTCTCTACAAAGGCCGCACATCTCGGAGCCTGCAGGGACCCAAGGACCATTGAAAGAGTAGCAGAGAATAGAGAGCGTCCTTGGATCTCGTCCCTAGAGTACGTGCGCATACCCTATTCTGCCTGAAACGTAGGCCAGGGGAGCATCATTGCCTGAGGCAATGGGGTGTCACCGCCATGCGCTTGCTCAATACTGCAGCAGTAGAGCAGGGAACGCTGTTTGTATTTCATGGTGTACACGAAACTTGCACGTACGTAGTCCGGGGGGGGAAGTTTTTGGCCGTGAAAGACCGATTGCTCCATTTCTATAACAGATCCGGCGGATTCGCGGGATTTTACGCAAAAACAAGGTGAACGAGATCAAACTACCGCTTAAACCCTAATAGCCTGTCCCAACCAGTGATCGTCGATCCAAAAAAAGGGGGGCTACCCTTTGATAACGTCAGCATGCCTCCAACGGAATCTAGGCACAACAGCATATGGCCCCCTCAAGATTCCTACTGCCCGTCGCCTTCTTCGTCGTATTCTGCGAGTCCTTGATCATTCAGGGACTGGTCCGGGTGTTGTTCGTTAGGTCCCGGGGGTTTGACCGTAGGCATTTCGATCAAAGTGCCCAAGGGAAGAGTCAGACCGAGCTCCGCTTCGTTGATGCCGGTCTGATCGAGGATTCTCGCGAGGACTCTTTCCAACTCTTGGGCCCTGTCCACTTGCATCATAGCGAACGTTTGCATCTGCCGGATGTAGTCGACGGAACGACGCAAAATGACACCCTTGTTCGGTCGATTTTGGAGGTCATTCGCAAAATCCGGAAGAAGCGTTGCCAATTCTTGTATCTTTTCATTAATGTTGTCCCGGCGGCGTCGCTCAACGGCATTGTGCGATTCTCGGCGACGGCGACGCTTCTCGTTTAGCACCTCCGGACTAGAAGAATGTCTTAGCATTATGCATTTGAAAATCGGCTTCTCATCTCTAGCAGCGGATTCTGCTGAACTCACTTTTTCATTGTCGGATCTGGTAGCATAAGCCCGTGGCCATAAGCGCTGTACGAGCTCGGTTGCGTGCCCATGAGTTTGGTGTGATCAACTATCCCGAAACCATTCGTTGCATGAACTGGTAGGGAGACAGAATAAAACGCATGGGGCGGTATATGCATCCCTGGAGTCCCTATAGAAATCATTGCAACACCCATCATTAGAAATGCTTACTTCTGTATGAACCGAGGCATTATTAGACCGTATCTCACCATAGGGCGTGCTGTGCAAGGAGTTACTCAATGAGCCTGATCCATGAGGGCTGAAAGTGGCTGACCGTGCCATAAGATCTGCGTCGTCCAGGGGGGAATTGGACATGGGAGACATAAGAGCCGTCGGGTCCGCCATCATAGGCATTGAGTCTCCAATCTCCACGCCATTCCCTAAGTCATAGTCGACGTTCAAGTATGGGTCGGTTAGAGCTTCTCCCAGCACGGAGTCCTCCTGTTTTACCCCAGGAACCCCCCCGAAGTGTTGGCTCATGGACAAGACGTTGGGATCTATCGTGTGGATGGCCTGCATCTGATGTTGTGGGCTGAGATGGGTATGTGGCTGGTGCTGGTGATGCACTCGTCGGTGTTGTGGTGGTTGCGGTTGTGTTTGTTGCATCGGGTAGCCGTTATATGCGGGCGGGCTAGCTAGACGAGCGTTTTGTAGCTGCTGTTGAGGGTATAAGCCACCATGCTGTGGTGGAGTGCCAACTGCGGATCCGCCCTTGCCGTCGAATGGCTGATGGGAAATTATGAGAGCGCCGTGAATATCCTGCTGCTGAGCTTGCGACGCTTGCTGCTGCTGCTGCTGCTGCTGGTGAGGATGGTGAACGGGGAAGGTGTGGGGTGACGCCGACTGTTTCCCTACTGGAAGCATGGTCGCTAAGCCTCGGGCAACGATAGCTGAGGAAATAGGGTTGTCGGGTAAAGTCACGCCGTGGGCAGGCGTGGGTGTCCGTGTGGGATGTCGGACGTCTTTCACCGTCGATAAGCGAACCTCGCCAACGAGAGGTGTAATGGCAAAGAGTCTTTCGGGTGCAATGGTAAGGACTCGCCAACTGCTGAGTCTGCCAGTGTTTTCGATTCGCGCGCTGCCAGCTCGTTCCGCTAAAGCTTCTCCTTTGGACTCAAATTCGACCAAAGCAAGGGGGTTCCAGTGTACGCCGGGACAAGCGTGCTCACTACTATCTATATACAGCGGCAAGCTCGTAGGCGAGGGTATGCGTCCTGACGTCCTCGGGGAAGCGAGCGTTCAAGGTCAGCGCGCAAAGAGTGTGCGAAGGCGATGTGGGGCTAATAAATGTGTTGCTCAAGTCACAGTTCCTCGGACTACTACGCTCTGGCAAAGCGATGAGACTCCAGATCCAAGTTCAAATGACGGAGTGAGAAAAAAATGGGACAGGCAAAAACGTCCCTTCGCCTAGGTATGACGGAAGTCTTTGTCTGGGAGCGGGTGCCAGCTAGACCCGCAAGCATAGCTGCGTGTGGCAGCCCGGCTTTACGACAAAAACGAGCTTATTTTTGGCTCGGCCTTGTGCTCTGCGCGGGACATCAACAACGCTGCCCAGAATCAGCAACAAAAAGGCCTGACTGGGTACACCAAGAACCCCTCGTGACCTAACGCCGACCACCTGGTATACCTGGGGTACCACGGCAACTTGTAACAAGCACAATCCCCGTCCGAGTCGCCACACAAAACGGCACACTCCGAAATTATTTTACCAGAAAAAGCCGCCTCACCCCACATGACCTTGCGCAGTCCCGTTATTTCCCGGTCGCCGCGGGTCGCCGCGGAGTGCATTCGCAAGTCAGAAATTGGACGACGATTTTTGCGAGCGACCCGTTCGTACGAGTACTGGTACTACTGTACACATCGAGCGAAACGAGACCGAGAATGTTTGAACGACGAGTCTCGAGAGCAACCTTCGATCATGTCTGATATAGACAACGGAGTACTGTACAATATGCTATACAAGGAGGAAGGTACAGGAGTAATGGACGCCGTATGCTGGAGTGCACAGTACATTACATATCTTCACGTTATATTTCATCTACAGTATCTTCTCTTTCCTAGCCCATGCGAACCATGTACTCTGTAGTGCCAACTTCTCGTCTTCCGTTGCAAAGCAAGCATCTATGGCCCGGAAGCTGAGGTCGAACAACTGCTTTTTACCCAGATCAAAGGTCGAGGCGGCTATTGCATATTCATTAGAAAGCGTGGATCGCATAATCCCAACGTCGTCGGTCTGTGTGTTGAAAAGTGAACGGAAGTCAGCATGCTCCTTTTCTGCGTGCGACTTTTAGCGAAAGGCACCTACACAAAGAACTGAGGGATGGTCCTCTCTCAATGCATCTCCCAGATGGTGTTCCTGTCATTACACAGGGGACATGAGACAACAGCGGCACGATCTGCCCAGATAAATAAGAGTTCAAACCTCATAGGAGGGAACCGTTTTCGTGAGAACGTTGGATGTCATGCAGATTTCAATAGGGATCCTTTCCTGATATACCCGCTGTCGAACTTCGTCGGACATGTATGTCGCATGGCCTAAGCGATCTGGTGGTATCGAGAGCATAGAAAGTGACTCGTCATGGCGACCGTCGACCTCGCCTAAGTGAATGGTGACTGTTAAGACAACAGGAGGAAACGGCGTCAGTTCGTCCCCAGAGGAAATCACAAGAAGACCTACTCAGTAATGAGCGTCACCTTTCAGACCAGCACTTTTGGCCTTCCTCATAGCATCCTTCGCAACGTTATCAAAGTGACCATAACTGGGATCTCCGCACAGATCGACACCAACAATGCCCTCGTCCCGGTGTTTCAAAGCCAGATCAATCACCCCTTCTGCTCCGTCTTTGGTCTGCTTCCGATCAATCGCGACAATCAGCTTTACCAAGATATCATCGCAACTTGCTGAACCAAACGCCTTCAGTAGTGTCTGGATGTATGTCTCCTTGGTCATTCCCGTCTCCGGAGCGTCCCTTGGGCCAGATCTGACTTCGAGGTAGCGCACTCCGTCGTTTTTGAAGCCATCGATCACCGAGTGTGCGATAAACGTCAATGACTCTTCGTCGTTCGTCAGCGCGTAAATGGCTGGGAAAAGGGGGAAAAACCTGACGCAAATTCCAAAAGTAAGACCGGTGCACTCCACCTCGCTGTCCCAAAGGTATCCCAGCACCGTTACGAACTCCGACAGTGCAAACTCCTCCTTCCACTCGAGAGCGTTCAGGACATTTAGTGCCTCCTGAGCTGCGTCGTCCTTGTGGAGCCGCTGCCCGAGTTTCCTTAACGCCAAGTCCTTCAACGCTGCTGGGGGTATCGATCCATTTAGGTGCGCGTGGAGTTCCTATAGGTACTCCAGAATTGAGGCCGTTGACATCTACAAAGGTTTAGGGAATTCTCCCCTTACTACTTTCGGTAATCGCCGGCAAAAGTCCAGGAGGTCTTCGAGTGAGCCGTAGGCGGCTTGAATAAACGGGGTGAGCCGTACAGACGTTGGCCTCATCGGAGTTATTGCAAAATCGGGTGGCATGTTGTTGACAACTTGACCGATGTGCATGCACTAAATGCACTCTGAGATGCACTTCGGCCAAAAGCGAGGCGCGTCTGGATTCAGGTCTGGATTTCGCGAGTCCGAAGCCGTCCGAAGCCTCCGAAGCAGGGTGGTGTAAAAAGCAGCCGGCCTCAATCAAACTGCAATAAACCTTGGTTTGCCGCCGAGAGTTTGATTCCGTGACGGCATATCACATACGCCCAGATCATACGCGGCGAGACAGGTTGACAAAGTATCGCAGCCGCGACGTGGGGCAAGTACTTTCGATTTCGTTTAGTTTACAACATAGTTTAGTTTAGCGAATCTCCCTGTGTGCGATGACAGCATCGTCACGTAGTTTCCTGGCAACCAGAGCCCCACTGCCGATCGAGGGTATGGCCGCTACAGCGGTTGGAGCCGTTAATCTTCTGGTACTTCGGATTGAAAATCGGGCACTACCGTCAAGGTTGGGTATAGCAAGGGTCGACGGTAAAACTATTGAAGTAACTACAGAAACAGGGGAGCTTCCGCTAAATACATATGTACACGAAAGCACCAAGAACAATCAGTTGAGTGGCTTTCGGGACGGCTTGATGAGGAGAGGATGTAAAGAAGGGTCGGAGCCTTCGTCCACCCATCGGGCGAACGACGGTGTAGTGATAAATCGTCGTCATCAGTTTGCGCCGTGCCGAGCACCGGCAGCCCTGTCCTGTATGGCCCACTCGGAAACATAGTTGAAGTCGGCAAACTCGTTCTGGTCCGCAGATGTTAGGACAGAGTTGATGGGTGTGAGGACAGCTTTTTCGCGCGTGAACTCGGGATCAAAGTTGGAAACGTCCGTTGCGTTTTTCTGCAAAACCAGTATTTTGGCGGGGTCAGATTGGATCCGATCACGGACGAAACAGCAAGTTGAGACTTACGATAATGGGAACCCATGGAGGTGGTACCCTCTTGTCCATAAACGCTTGCCAGTCGACGCCAAGGAAGTAGGGATGCCTTTTGATCTCTTCCGCATCAAGGCGCCCTCCTCCGAGACGCCGCGCTGGGTTCTTGTTCATCAACTGCGCAACGAGGGTGTTGATGAGCATCGAATCAGATATTCAAATGACGTATGTCGCCACAAAATAATGTACGTACCCCCTGCAACAAGGACAGCGTGTCCCTCGGAATGTTCGACGGGTACTCCACCGCATCGTTCAGGATCGCATCCAACACATCTTGCTCGTCCTCGCCATGGAAAGGATACCGCCCAACAAGCATGACATAGATCAAAACCCCGAAACTCCACCAATCGACGGACCGGCCGTAACGGTTGGAGCTGAGGATTTCTGGGGCCATGTAGTCGGGAGTCCCACAGAACGTTCGGGTGGTTTGGCCGTATGGCATGTTTTCTTTGCAGATACCGTAGTCGGCAACTTTGATGTGACCGTCCGGGCACATCAGGATGTTGTCGAGCTTCAAGTCACTAGATGTTATAGAGAATTTTAGATTGGTTGCGTAAAACAATAGGCGGCAGTCTTCTACGCACCGGTAGATGATGTTGTTTTTGTGGAAGTACTCCAATGCCAACAGCACCTCACATGCGTAGAACTTCGCCCTCGCCTGCGAAAATCTTTTTTTGTCCTGAATGTGCGCCATCAGATCTCCCCCACTGACATACTCCATAACAAAATACACTCGATTATCCGTCTGGAAGCAGGAATGCAGGTTCACCAAGAACGGGTGATGCGCGGCTGAGGCCGCCTGGAAAATGCGCTTCTCCAGCTTGGTGGACTTGACATCATCGTTTTGAATAATGAATTCCTTTTTGAGGGCCTTGACGGCGTAGAGTTGCTGAGTTTGCTTTTCCGCGGCCATCATCACCTTTCCGAAAGCACCGCGACCGAGAACCGCGATGAAATCGAAGTCATTCAAGGTGATATTTGTCGGCGGCAGGTTCATCATTGGGCGGTGCTGTTGTGTTACAGCGGCCGGCGGGGTCTGGCCATGGTAGTAGTGCGGCGGGAGCTGCTGCTGCTGTTGCGGAGCGATCTGAGGCTGAGGTGAAATATGTTGATGAGAGCCAGGGGGAAGGTGTTGATGAGACGGGGGCGGTACATTCTCGCTGACGGGTGGACGCGGCGCAGCAATGGCAGGAACGCTGATGCGCGGTTGTGGAGGTTGCTGAGTGTAATACGGTTGTTGCTGAGGTTGTCCGTAAGGATGCGCGTAGGGTTGCTGGTAATACTGTTGCGACGGGGGCTGCTGCTGCTGATGCTGCTGCTGTGGACTAACAGGCGCAACAGAGGACGAAGGCCGTGACTGCTGGTTATCCGGATACTGCTGGATCTTGGGCGATTGCTTGATCTCCACGGTGGTGCTCGGTAAAGTCTCGCCAATACGCAGCTGTGCTAAAGCGTCATATGGAGTGGCACTATGGGCGCTTTGCGAAGGCGGGGTGGGCAACGGCTTAGCTTGAGGCGGCATTTGTTGGTATGCCGAGATGATGGCTTCGGTTCCAGCGATCGAGTCGCCACGAGGCGGTGCGATCATGGAGCTCGGCAACGATCCCGGCGTCACGGCTTGAGATGGTGGCCGCTGTAACTGAGCATGGGTAGAGTCTTCAAGGGTAGCTCTTCGCGCCCGTTCAGCTTCTTCCATCTCCCTTTGATGCAACTTGCGCTCATGTTCTTCAAAAGCCGCAACAAGCATATCCGCCATCTCAGGAGCTAGGCCACAAAAGTTGGGGACGCACGGTGAACACTCCCTATGACTCGTCTGTTGACATTCGGAACAGCGATGCATCTTGCGACCAGGTGGTAGGATGTAACCGCAGTGGGTACACCAGGCTGCCCCGAGGTTGGTGGTCGTTTCCCATCGATGGGGAATATTGTACTTGAGCAGTTGTCCGGAATTGTTGTCCCTCGTTGGCTCCTGCAAAAGATTCAGCTCAGCATTCGGATACCCATTTCAAACGCCTTCGGTAAACTCACTCCTCGGATCTCCTCTTTCGTGATGCACTTTGTGATGACCCGGCTATAGCACTTTGCATGTACAGTGTACGAGCAGTCTGGGAAGGTGAAATGAGGTAAGGTGAGTAAATGAAGTGGCGCCTTCATACATATCCGCTTTCCACGCGCACTCACTTTGGCATTGGTAGCCTTGCCTGCCCAAAAACTCGTGACATAGAGCACATTGCATGACATGATAGAAACTTTGCGGCAAGAATCGGTGCCCGTTCTTCGGGAAAACTTTCTGGACTGGATTTCGACGAAACACTTGATCCCTCGCGGTTTTTGTACGTCCCAAGGGCACAAAGTTCATCTTCAGCAGCAATTGTCCAGCAGGCTCCATATCAAGCCAGGTCTCCTCTACATCCGCGCGATCATGCTCTTGACCGTATTTGGCCGTGATATCCTCGTCGAGCTCCCATAATCGATACCAAACAAGCCCGAGCAGTGTCAGATTGCGATCGTACACGGCGATCTCCACCTCCTGAGCTTTGTCGACTTGCAGATCTATGTACTCGTTCCATTGATTGCGAGTGTACTTTGTCTCGTGCTTGATGACTCCATCGACCCGAATGAGGGCTTTGAGCTCTTCCTTGCTATTTCTCCGTCCAGGTAGGTTCGTCGCCCCGAGAAGCTTCAACTTCAGGCGGCCAGTCTTGCGAAGGCGCACGTCTACGGGTGGAGACAATATTAGCCACAAAGCCCACTTCAAGCCAATCCGCACAGCGGCTCAGTGAACATGATTCTGTACCAGCCAGATAGTTCTCCTCCTCTTCCTCGTCCTCTACATTCAGGCCAGCATACTTGTGCTCCGACTTTTGCAAAAACGCCAGTTTTGCATTCGCTTCAGCAATCTTCTCAAGCAGCTCTGTCATTACCGACGGATCCTGCGACGCGGCAGGAGCGTCAGCGATAGCTTTGACCATGTTTTCAGTCCCTGTCTTGACTTTCTGTTCCACGTCCAACTTATGACGGACTTGCTTCAAGCGGTACTTGATTTTGTCGGACGTCAAGGCCGTTCCGTACTTCATGTTATCGAAAGCGGTGGTTCCGCTCGGTTGTGCGTAATCTAGAGAGTTTGCGGACGAGCTACGATTCGGGGATGTCACACCGGACCCAGGTTGGGAACCACGGCCGATTATGTTCCCAAAGAATCCAGAGCCTTGTGACTGCAATCCGCGATGCCCAGCTGGGGAAGTTGGCCCGCCGGCCGAGGAGTGCATCACATCTTCTAAAGAGCTGTGTCGGCTGCCGAAGGTTCTGACAGAGCCTTCCGATGTGGGTGTCTGTTGGGTGAAGCTCTGCTTTCGCACGTACAACTTGCGAAGCTCTCCGTCGAGGAAGTCGAGCCTCCTCTTTGACTCTGTTGCGTTCATCTCGCACTGGTTTCTCGCGCTCTTGTCCGTGAGGTTCTTCAACATCTTGAGAGCACCATCGTGAACAGTCTGTTCGATTGTGATTTTTTTTCTCAAGTCGGCGATCTTGCCGTCAACGGCCGCCGGGTCAGCCTAAGATGCCAATACACGTACGGTGAGAAACTGTGCGCCGAGGACCGAGTCAGAGCGATTCCCATCCTTCGTCAGAAGCTCCACCACAGCGTATCCCTCTCCCCAGTCCCGTGGTCAGATGGACATCAAAAGCTCCAAGTTTCCACCAATTTCCTGCACAAACCTCACCATTGCTCTTGAGTTCTGTTGACGAGGTCAACTCCTGAACGCACGAGAACAAGTGGGTGCTGGAATTGGCCTATAGGACAGGCGAAGGAGGAAACCAGCGAACTCGATGCTGCGTTCGACGGAGGTTGTCCGGAGCTAAGCACAGTAATGCAGATTGGGGGGTTCACCGTTTGGGGTAGCGGTGGTGGGTTCCGGCTGTTGCATGTGCGGCGGCGACATTCTCTCGGCTCTATCCATCGATATGAAATTTTGGGAACGCGTGTGCGGAGCCTCTCTGCCCCGTGGGGGGAAATTTACAATGGGATCATCGTCCTCTATTGTCAACACTAGGGCGTTTCACTAGCCCACATAATCGGACTTTTGCTCGGATTATCTCGCGATTATCTGCCGATTATTCCGGCGCGCACAGGAACGCGGTTGCTACGCGCTCCCCGATCGGCCCCCCAAGACACGTCATCCGGGGCCCGGCGCACCCCCCATCGCACCCCAGAAAATCGACAAAAATCGGCGGTTTCGCTGATCTGGGGTGTGCAGAAAAAGCTGCGTTTGGGGTGTTTTTTCTGCCCCACATAATCCGATTATCTGCACCCCCCCCGATTTTCTCCCTGCGGCGCAGGGTCCGTGCGGCGCAGCCCTGGACCCTGACCCCACGTGCCCCTCACCCCATGGGTCGCAGGAGTCTGAGGACGCCGAGCAACAGACTGACCTCAACCAGCCCAACATGCCTGGGACGTCTGACCGTCAGCGGGCGATCGCGGAGCTCGCCGAGCGCATTGTCCTCCGGGAGGTGGTGGGATACTTCGACGGCCGGACTAGCGACGAAGACTCGTGGGCCGGGTCGTCGTCGGAATCGGAAGCCGAGCTCGAGTTCGACATCCTGGTGGCGCTGATGAGCAAGACGTACCTGGCTTCGCGGGACCCCGTCCCCAAACGGTTGTTTTGGGGGCTCCTGCACACCGTGGACGATGAACGGTGGCTGAACAAAGTGCGCATGAGCCGCACAGCATAAGGACAACTGCTCGACCTTGTCAAGGATCACCCGGTCTTCCAGTCCCGAAATTCCGCCATCAAGCCGCAGGAGCCCGTATCTTCCCAGCTGTTTGTCGCTCTTTCTCGGTTGGGGCAGTATGGCAATGGGACCCGCGTGGGCCACATCGCTCGCATGTGGGGGGTATCTGAGGGGTGCGTTGGTAACTACACCCGCCGGGTCCTCGCGGCCATTGAGGAGGTCGGTAGCCGTGGCGGCTGGCTCGACTGGCCCACGGCCCAAGGGAAGGAGCTCATCAAGGAGCGCATCTACCGCAAGTCGTTCTTCAAAAACTGCATCGGCTTCGTGGACGGGACACACGTTGTGTTTTTCCAGAAGCCCGGCGTAGATGGGGAGGACTTCTTCAACCGGAAGAGGATGTACAGTCTCAACGTGATGGTGGTCAACGATGACACGGGACGGATTACCTACGTTCACACGGGAATGTGCGGGAGCGCCTACGACGCCCGCGTGTTCAGCCATTCGGCTTTGGCGCTGCAGCCAGACCTGTACTTTGGAGAGAACAAATATCTCATCGGGGACAGCGGGTACACCAACACCCTCACTGTCCTTGACAGCATGAAGGGACTGCACGCGGACGTCCCCGTTAACAAGGTGTTCAACACTTACATTGCGCAGTTGCGCATCGTGAACGAGCACACGATTGGGCGCCTCAAGGGTCGTTTTCAGAGCCTCCGCGGACGCCGCGTCGTCGTGAAGGACGCCGACTCCGCCCGTTACGCGAATGCGTGGATCCGGGCGTGCTGCATGCTGCACAACTGGCTGATGGACGACGGGTATCCGCAAGAGTGGGGCGAGCAGGACCCCGATGCGTTTACGGCCGCTGGTGGTGGTGGGGTGCCGGACGTTACGACCCCCGCTTCGCGTCGGGAGGCGGATGCCCATAGGCACAGCGTTCGGGACTACGTTCTTCGGAAACCCCTGGAGGTGGGATGATAGGGGCGCGTGGCGCAAGGTGTATTGTATTTGTTCCTGGAAGCGCTATAACCAAGAATGCTATTTCTGCCAACTATATATTCACGTTAGGGCCCGTGACGCCCCGTCTCCTCTCTCTCCCACCCCGTTTGCAAAGGTGCCACAACTCTCTCCTTGCTAGTAGCGCTGGAGACATCTCCTTGCTCGCTTGTCGCACCGGTTGCCCACGCGCACACCGCTCGGCCTCCGCGATATTCTGAAGCTGTCTCGGATGTCAACGGGTAAGTGTCTGCGGGGCCCAAGCGTACGACCCACATGGCAGAGGAATGTTACTCACGTGCGTTACTTCTTGGCTTTCGCGCCCGTGTACTCCTTCTTGCCTTTCGCTCTTGTGTCCTCCTTCTTGCCCGCTCCTGTGCCATGGTACGGCGTGCGGACCCGCTCAAATGGACCTGGTTCAAATGCAACCGGGGCGGCGGGATGTAATAATGCTAGGTCCGTTGCCAGAGGCTAGCTCTGTCCCCGCTCGATGTATTGAAAGAATTCTAGCGTTTCTACCTCCCGGGGCGCCGCCCGAAGGCTTTTCTTCCCTTCGGGAGTCACCCCAGAGCGTAGAACTCCAATTAAATCTATGCTACACGTGATCTCATGCCCTACGCGCTTCCCCGCACTAAGGTGACACCTGCAGCACCTCATTACACCCCCCTTAGAGCCAAGTGTCACTCCGACAGCACCTGTCAGTCGCTCCCCGCTGTTACTTGATGTGGAGCTGATACAGGTGTCGGCCATGAGGAGTGCGCATGGCTCTACTGGAGCGGCTGGCGTCGCCGGCGGTCACCACGATGGCAATCAGATCCACGCCGATATGAGGTAGAGATGATTCGGCCGCATCTGGTCGTGGGGCGCTAAGGTCCTTGTCCCTGCGGCATATAAAAGGAAGGCAGTAGTCCCCTCGGCACCTTCCCGCCAGTCCTCGGACTTACATTTCTTGCTCCCAATCTCGTAACCTCTCACCGTCGCCGTTCCCCTCTCACCATGGCCAGCGTAGCTCCTCCTGCCAAGCCCACCGCCGCCAGCCCGTCATCGGGCAAGAAGAAAGTAGGCGGAGGCCCCACCAAAGGGGACAGCCTGAAGAAGGCTCTCAAGTGACAGCGAGTGGTGAGTCCACGGAGGGCACCCAATTGACCGAACTTACGTGGTTTGACCAATTTTATCTCAGGACACCCCCGAGGTGCACTCGGACAGTACCACTGAGCCCCCGGCTCCACCGGCCCGACCTACGTGTTGGAACTGCAACAGGTAGCGCCCCCGCAAGATGTTCCTCTCGGCGTGCCAGCACGTTATATGCCGGCCTTGCATCCTCCAGCTCTGTGATGACACCGTAAGGAACCGCATGTCATGGGTGGTTCCCGTGGGGTGACTGACAGCTCACGTCTCTTCCCGACAGACCAACACGCGCGTCGGGGCGTTCACGTGCGGCTACGTGGACAGTTTCGGGGAGGAGTGTGAAGTGCCGCGCTTCTGTCAGGCGCTACCCTGCACCTGTGTGTGGCCTGACTGCGATTGTCTGGCCGAGGACGTGCGGGTCTTCCCCTGCGACCACATCCAGTGTATGGGGCATGTCCGCGCGTAAGTACAACAGTCGTGAATTTTTGACAGGTCCCGCCACTGACGTGACGCGCTCCCTCTAGCCAGATGAACGTCCAGCAGTTCGTCCCGCTGCGTTGTGGCATGGGGACCGCCTGCCACGGCTCACGTTGCCAATGGTCTTTCGCCAAACAGGCTGGTATTTAGCCTGGCGTCATCATTGTTCTTTCTTGTATATATTTTGTTGAATTTGATCTCTTCGGAGCGTTTCCTTTTGGTACTTCACCGATTGTCCTGAGCCCTGGTGCCTCGCACCCGCTCGCATCCTAGGCCTTGGTTTTGCATACCCGCCCGCATGAGCCCTGACACCTCGCTTGCCCGCTCGCATAGGCCCTGGTACCCTGTACCCGCCCGCATCCTAGGCCTTGGTATTGCATACCCGCCCGCATGAGCCCTGACACCTCGCTTGCCCGCTCGCATAGGCCCTGGTACCTCGTACCCGCCCGCATCATAGGCCCTGGTATTGCATACCCGCCCGCATGAGCCCTGACACCTCGCTTGCCCGCTCGCATAGGCCCTGGTACCTCGTACCCGCCCGCATCATAGGCCCTGGTACTTCGTACCCGCCTGCATCATAGGCCCTGGTACTTCGTACCCGCCCGCATCATAGGCCCTGGTACTATGTACCCGCCCGCATCATAGGCCTTGGTACTAGTACCCGCCCGCATGAGTCCGTAATGGTAATGATCATTTCGGACAGTAGAAACTCTGTTTTGATGTATGTACAAGGTTCAGATATGTTTACGGCGACGTGAGACTGTCGCTCTCTCCTTCGCCTTGGTCTCCCGAGTCTGCTGGCCCTTTGCGGCTTGCTTTCGGACATATCGCCTGTGGGCCGAGGTGTCACGGACGTGTCGGAGTGGCTCCCATGTGTTCTGGGACACGTCGTAGCCGGCCCATTTGACCAGGAACATCTCGGTGTTGCGTACCCACTTGGAGTCGAGGATGTCTTCAACTCGGTGTTCGAGTTCGCCAATGACTTCCTCCGGGGGGGGGTGGTGCGTCCACTTTTCGGTATGGGCCGTTCTCCGAAGGGTTGTACCTGCGTAGGATGTTGACGTGGAACACCGGGTGTAGTCCACTGAACTCGTGGGAGAGCTCCAGCTTGTAGGTGTCCGGGTGGGGCCCTTTTCCGCTGACGGTGAAGGGCCCGATCCATAGCGCGGAGAGCTTCTTGTTTCGGGCCGAGATACTCTTGATCTGGATG